CAAAAGTACAAAGGCAGTTCAATGAGGAAGGATAGTGTTTAAACAGAAGGTGCTGGAACAATTGGGTTTCTGAATTATACAAAAATCAACTCAAAATTGGCCATAGACTAGATTTAAAAAATATAACTTTTAGAAGAAAACATAAGGGAAAACTCTTTGTGACCTTAGGTTAGGCAAAAATTTCTTAGATATGACACCAAAAGCATAATCTATAAAAGAACAAATTGATCAGTTGGTCTCAAAATTAAAAACATCCGTTCTTGGAAAGAGAATGAAAAGACAAGCCATGGACTAGGATAAAATCTTTGAAAAGCATTTATCTGATAAAGGACTTGTATCTAGAATTTATGAAGAATTCTCAAAACTGTACAGTAATATAACATGCAATCCAACTAAAAACCAGGGAAAAGATCTGAACAGACACTTTACCAAAGACGATATAATGATGATGAATAAGCACATGAAAAGATGCTCAGCATCAGTAATGCAAATTAAAACTAAACATTTAGTAGAAAATAGACCCACACCTGAAGAGAGGTCACCTTTTCCTTTCTGATGTTGAACTTCTTTTGTGGAAATGTAAGGCATGGAATATCTTATAAACAAACCTGAAGAGAAAGCCAAGAAAAACCTAAAGTTCCTAATTACTGGGTATTATGGTTTGAATGTGTCCCTTCCGAAATTCAGATGTTGCCAGTGTATTAGCAAATGAGATCTTTTTTTAAAGGTGATTAGGCTACGAGGGCTCCTCACTTATGAATGGGACTAGGCACCCTTATTTAAAGGCTTCATAGAGGGAGTTTGTCCTTCTTGCCCTTCTGTCTTCTACCACATGAGGACATAGCATTCCTTCCCTCTGGACAATGCAGCCCTCACCGGACAACCAACCCTGCCCACATCTTGATCATGGACTTACCCAACTTCCATAACTGTGAGAAATAAATTCCTGTTCTTTATAAATTGCCTATTGTCAGCTATTTTATTATAGCAACACAAAGCAGACTAAGATACTGGGGGAGAAAAATAAAAATAAATCTCCTGCCATTCTAGGAACTCTGTCCACAAATGTAGCAGAGAAAGAAAACAGTTTTATCATTGAATGAACACTAAACCAGGCCACAATTCACATTACAGGCAATTCACTAATGAGATTGTAAAGACAGAAAGAAAGCTCATCTTTCTATATAACCAGGCAGGTACTAACCATTGCATACATGTTGCAAAGATAAATGATAACATGTTCTTTTTAATAAGAGTACTTGACAGCACCATTTGTTATACATAATTCATTCTGAATTCGCACGGTAATTGGGGTGGCCATTTATCCAAAGGAAAAAATAAAACTTCTGTCTTTATGACAAGGAGGTAGTTACAACTTGGACAGAGGTATCCAAGTTAATATCCCACACTGACTGGGAGATAGGGATCCTGCCTTCTTGGTATTTATATTTCAAAGATATGGCTCCTGGGCCTTTAAGAAAAACATACCTGTGGTGCAAAGCTGGCTAAAGTCTTACTAGGTTTTTAGGAGATTTACATACATATCAAAGAGGCAATTACAAGTTTTCTCTTTTCTCAAAGCAAGATCCAAGAAAAGGGAGAGAGGAAAAGGTCTCTCCCTTTTGGCACCCAGAAAAAATTTAATATTTTTTATATTCAACTTCACAAAACCCAGAGCTGAATTAACCAACCTTTGTTATAGTCTACCTCTGGGCTTTTTGTTATAGGAGGTAACCCCAGTTGTTTGTGTAGTGTAAGTATTCTGTATCCTATAGGCAAAATCATCCTAATTTATTTAATTCCTAAAGGCAGGGAAAAATGAATTCTCCCCACCTCCCTTAGATCTTAAGACAAAGAAAGCCTAAACTACTGTAGCATACCAGAAATGCCTTCTTCCTTCAGTTTATTATAAAAATGATGTACATTTTCCATTAGAATCCATTATATATACACATTTGTTTCAGTGTTTTTCTTCTTACCCTTTTACCCCCAAAAAACAAATTAAAGATTTGAGAAAGAAAGTAGAGCAGAGGACAGATCTTTTGAAGAAGTTAATAATTGTATTGTTTATTGTATTATCTTTTAGAATATAATTTCCACTGAATATCTTCAATATAATTTGATAGGTTTTTTTTAATCCATTCCAAAAGACATTATTTAGGCATGAGAACTATACATGAATTGGAAGATTATGATATCTTTCAAACAATGTAAGTTTTTCTTATGAGTCATATGTAGTCCCAATGTAAGCCTTTTTAGAGTTGTAACATCTATCTGTAACACACTGGAATATTGCCATTGCACTGGTAGTTGTGAAACAATAAAAAAGCCGTCAAGGCTATTAAAGGCCTAAGTAAGGGCACCTTGGTGTGGGTAGTTCTTGTAGTCTTATCATTTCTCTATAGACTCTCATGTTTCTCCTTAGATTTGGTTGACTTTTCTTTCTGTAAAACTTTCCTATTTTTGGTGATAACCAAAACTTACATTAAGATAACTTCTGGTACTAGAACCTCCTCTGAATGTCATGGTGGTTAGATAAGAGAAAGATAAAATGTGCTTGTAAACAGCATTTAAAAATAGCTCTAGAGAGTAAGCAAGAACAAATAACGTCTGGTAAAACTGAGGTACTTAAAAACACTTTTTTATATACCTACAGGCTTTTATCGAGGTTATTTGTCATCTGTTATCTAATTTTGAACTACAATTAGAAAAATATCCTTGCTAGAGAAAAAAAAAATAGTAGTCTTACAGTTAATTTAGATTGTAGACTTTTCTCAACTTCCACAGTGAAGATCACATTTCCCCAATTGTTTATTTTTAAGATGCAGGTCATATATCTTAAATTTAAATCAATAAGGTGTATTAAGTCATAGAATTGTAATTCAAGGTTTAAAAGAGTTGTGTAGCTATATTACTTTGGTTTCAAACATTGATTTTGTCATCAATTTTTACATTCATAACAAAACGTATATATTTAAACATAAAAAGTCTAGTGTCAGCCCTGTTTTCTAGGGCTTGTTTGATTCTCCAAGAAGTGATCAGTCTTGTTCCAAACCCCAGGACCAAGCAGCAATGCTTGATGGCCAGGGGTATTCTAAAGGGTAGGAATGGAAGTTGTATTAGTTTCCTAAGGCAAATTACCACCAATTTGGTGGCTTAAAATGACAAAAATTTATTCTTTCGGGGTTCTGGAAACCAGAATCCCTAAATTAGATCTTTCCAAGACATTCCTAGGCTTATAGCAACATAACTTCAATCTTGGCCTCCGTCTTCACCTTCCCTGTATGTCTCTAGGCCCAAATCTCCCTCTCGTTTCTCTCATAAAGACATCAGTTGTTGGATTTAGGATCCACCTTAAATCCAGGATAATTTGATCTATAGATCCTTAACTATTTGCAGCATTTGTGACTGCAAAGACCCTATTTCCAAATATGATCACGTTCTTAAAATCGAGGTGGACATGAATTTGGGATGGGAGTCTTATTTAACCCACTGTAGTATTATTTAAGATTCTTTTGTTTAAGAGATGATTTCAAATCAAAATAATGATGATATCACTTTCTGATACCTAAAACTTTCACATATTATTATCTTACTAATTTTCAAAACATTTGTTTACATGAGGTACTTCCAGAGCCTCCCCAATGGAAAGGAATCATATTATAGGAAACTCTTGCATTTTTTTCCTCTCTAATCTTTCACTCACTCCTCCCACAAGTAATGAGATTAATACATCTCTGAAATCCTTTGGCCCACATTTAACCAGAGGCAGGGAAACTACATGGAGTTGCACAGAACATAGCTCTCCTGGACATGTATGCGCCCAGGACACCATGTGCTTGTGCTTCTGGTATCCATATGGTAAGCAGACTGAGCAGAGTCTCTTGCTATGTCCAATTAAGTTTGTGTTTTTAGTTCCAGCTTTTCCTGCAAGCTGGTGAATAAATCAGAGTCAAGTAGGTCTCAAAGTTTAGGATTGAAGAGCTAGGTAGGCAGTCCTGTTACTCTCCATTCTAGCTTTACTAATCATAAAGTTGATACATAATCTCCATTTACCTCAGTGCTATGTTTTTACTTTCTCATTCAGAGCTCTATGGGTAATCAGAAAAGATATTAACATGCCTATTTTAAAAATATTCACTGAAGCCATGTAAGGCCCAGCTAGTTATTACTAAGATTAAGAATTAGAACCTAGATTGTCTTAACTCTATATAGTTGGTTTTTCTATTCATTTCTATGAACCCCTAATACAATTCAGATTGGAATTTTTCTGACATTACAGGTAAAAATCATTGTGTGTATTGACCTATCATTTTTTAATTTCCAAGTGACTACCATGGCTTGTAGTGCTCATGGAGAGGTCAGGATCCTTGCCTTCATTTGAACAGTTCTATTATCTATGAAGAGTGATTATAGATTTACAGAAGTTTTAATAGTTTATTTATGTTTCTGAAACCTTTATTTAACAGCTTGCCACACCTGCTCCAAGAACTGAAAAACTACTACTAATGTACTAAAAGGAGTAGTGTAAAAGTCTTTGCTGTATCCAAATAGTATACTTTGCTCATTTCCTTCATTGTTTATTATAGTAATAAATATGAATTAATTTCTAGTTCTTTATGAGCTTTATAAATTGCCAGAACATGTGATTATTATGATTAATATAAATGATTTTTAAAAGAATGAAAAATTATGAAATGGTTTGTTTTATGCCATTTTAACAGCATTGTTGTTTTATGTGCTTCAGAAAAAATATGTAGAATTTTTTTTAGAAAACTGTTTCATCAGATCTAGTTCATCTTACTGGTATTCTTAAGCACTATTCTGGGACATACTCTGTGTTTTAGATCATTTTGGGTGACTAAGGTTCATTTCTGTGATTTTTTTTTTTTTATCAAAGCTACTTAAAGTAGGTTATTGATTTTCTCTGCCATTATAACTGAGCTCACTTGATCTCTTTAATTCTAATTGAACCTCATTTCTCCCCTTTTTATTTTCAGATATTTGTATCTGCTGTTCTCTGGTGATGACCTTTTACCTTTAGACCACTGGGTGTTTAATACAGAGGCTCACCCTCTGCCTGTGTTACATTTAGCCAACACCAAACTTTCAGGTAATCCTGCTGTTCGATGAAAGCAGCTGCAGAAGGACGATTCTCACCTGTGTTTTGTTTACATGGACCACTATAGAATTAGTCTGGAGAGGCAGCTTTTGAAAATCTGGACCTCTAAGTCAACGTGGCAGGGTGAAACTATTCCCCGAAAGACTTTTCAACTTGTAGATATATCAACTTTGAAATTATTCCATTTTATACCTGACCAAAACATGTTCTGGTATGTGCTTTGATTCTTAATGAGGTGGTCACATGACAAATGATTCCTATTACAACTGTATTGTTTTTAGAGTCTTGGAGGCTAGACTTCAAGCCAAGAATATAGAGCACCTTGCAGGAGTTAAGGCTGGCTTTTGGAACCAGTTATATATTTGTTTCCTCCTACAGTGGAGCAGCTTTCAAATAAAATATTTACACATTGTTTATCCCTTTTTTCTTCATTTTAATAATGGAATGAACTAAGATAAATAAGAACAAAATAATAGTACATAACTGCATCGGTGACGAGAAGACTTGAAAAAGGAACAGAAGTACTTGTCCCTGTCTGAATTTTCAAGTTCCCTGTTGGATGACCAGACTGGCAACTGTTTCAAATCCCAATCTATTTCATTGAAATTTCTTGGTTAAATTTAATTTTCTCTGGGGGCATGATCTCACAAAGAATATTTTTCAAGTCTTTGTATCCATATGGAATCGCTGAAACTGCTATTTATCATAAACACTTATGAGCCTGGGTTTGGGATTTTGTGCATGTAGTGCAGTCTCGTGTTGGTAGCATGACAAAAAGTGGGGAAAATGCCAGTTTGTTGCCTTGAAACCTGTTGTGAAAGAAATTCTTCATTTTGTTGGTAGATTATTTTTCTGAACCAACAAATCTACCAAGTAAAGTTCATCCACTTAAATGTCATAATAAAGTTAATAGAGTCACTCAATTTATTTATGTGGCTTGGCAAAACTATACTATTATGCAGCTCTGAATTTGCCTTGATAAGCTAAATTACTTTCACAACTTAAAGCAAAAACAAAACAATGAAACTTTCTTAAATATTCTATCTGGAATGGAGCTACTGGATTCTTTATTATCTCATCAGATAAGTGAACTATTCACAGATATTTTATGTTTTTTATTTTCTCTAAGGATATTTATAGAAATCCAAAAAATTAATGAGAATAGCTTCAAAATAATTTTGAGTGATCAAAGTGTAGTATAATTAATCATATTACCCTAAAATTAGGATATATTTAAGGGACTTTCTCTTACCATAAGTAGGTTTTACATTCATATTTCTTTTTAAAGAAATACTAGTTCTTTATATTTTGGCAGGAAGAACTTAAATTTTATCAATAACTATAATGTAAGATAAACATCTAGTGCTTATAAATTTTTCGTCCCTTGAATTTAGGTGACAGTGCAAGACAATTTTTTCTATTTTCATTTACTATAGACAACTTCCATTGACATTAATAAAAGTTAGAAACAGTACAATTAGTTTCATATTTATTCTGAATTTGAAAATTTCATGAAACAAAGTTTGTACAAGAAGCCCACCTTAGAATTCTGAAAACCTGTTTCCTTATTTGATAACTGTTCTTTTTAACCTTCTCTTAGCTTGTAGATTTAAGTTGGGGAAAGATTTAATAAGTTAATATAATTAAATATTTTCTAAAATTGTTTGTCTATGCCTCAAATGATGAAACAGTCCTTACAATTCAGCCACTGATCTATAAATGAAAGCCACCCCCAAATTAAGTCTTTAAGAAAATTAAGTTTTAGCACATATTTTGAAATTATAATATCTTTTTCTGCTTGAACACTTAAAAATTTTAAATGTGAGTGGCAGATGACTATAACTTTAGAAAAGGGAAAATGTTTGGTTTTCAAAAAAAAGTTAGGCTTCCACCTAAAAATTAGCAAAGTCCCAGAGCAGCAGTGCATATGTCAATGAACTCTCTCTCACTTTGTTTAGAAGAATGCAGAGTAAAGGGACCTGGGTTCCCCAGGAACTTCTCAAGGGGTGAGAAGAACAGAACCCCTATCCCCAACTGCTCTGTTTGTGTTACTCAGATGACCAGGGCTTAAGAGAAAGCAAAGTATACAAGCAGGTCCGTTCTGGTATAGACAAAGAACTTGAGAGAACAGTTGAAGAGTCTTCTTCATGACCCCACTTTCTTTGTGATGATAAAACTAGACCTTATAACAATGGTTCCATTTTTTTCTTCTCTGAATACCAAAGGCAGTTGAAGTCAACTACAAACTACTTGCCAGTATCATTTTATTTTTGTTATAGATTTTTAAATTATTCCTCCAAGATCAATCCTTATCCCATATTCTGCATAGTTTCCAAGAGTATTCTTTACTTTCTTCTGTCCTTTACAGCCCTTTGCATTTTGTAGACTTTATTTCTCAGGTTAAATACTCACTGCATTTATAAGATATTCTGCAAGGAGCCCAGAAATGCTCCTTTCCAGGTGCCTCCTAAAAGAGCTGATTCCCCACCTTGTGCCTTTGGCACAAATGTGCAGAATACATAGATCAGTTGGTACATAAAAGAAAAAATTAGGAATGTCAAATACCCCTCTACCTTCTACAGTTATTTCTCATCTGTTTAGAATCACACTTTTTGGTTCAAGCCAGATTTTTTGTTTTTAATATAACCAGTGTAAAGTTGTTAAAAGGGGGCCCTAACCAAAAAGAAATCTCAGTGCAGAAAAATAAATCTCCAGTCAGGAGGTTCTTACTTCTTGGTAGGTTGCATATTTGATGTCTCTCTAACACCAACATATTCCTGCCTGCGAGCAGATGTATGTAAAAGTAAAATGTGGGTATTGAAGGAATACATTGTTTTTGTAGAATATTGACCCTGATTCTCTATAATGTCATCTAGGGCAACCCAGGGCTTCACTTGGTAGATTTTAAGCAGGCAGTTTGAAATTTTGATCATCATCCTCTCATCTTCACTCTTCATTGCCAAAGTCTTTTGTCAAACCTCCAGATTTGCTGAAGAAAGATTGTGCTTGCCATTCCTGTTATAATGCAGTTTCTCCTTAAGCCTGGATTTCTTTGAATGAGCACATGAGTAAATGAGAGAATGAATGAACAAACATGTGTGAAGTACCTAATACATGTCAAGCATTGTGCCTGGCACTTTCAAGCATTAGAACATTTTATGTGATTCCAATGGCTTTTTCTGTATGAGAGTAGTTTGTATCATTTTAAATGTTGTCCAATATGAATTGTGTTATTAAGTTCTTAATTTTATATTTCATATAAATTAAAGAGGAAAAGAAAAGGTTTATAATATATTTTAAACAATATGTTACTATATAATACTACTATAATTGTAGTCAATAACTAAAGTCTCTTGGAAAATGTCAAATATTTGATTTCTGATGCAACTTTGACTAAAATATTTACTTTAGAAATAAAAACATTCTTATTTTGCTATATCATTTTAATTACATAATTAAAAATCAATGTTTTATAGAAGTGCTGGTTATTTCATATTAAAAAAGTTTTGTCACATAATTCATGAGTAAAACTTGTAGTTGTAAGTTGTCTTTGCTCTGTTATGGGTCCTACTGAAGGTCCCAGGCTGTTGAACATAAAGAAAAAGATACTAAAATATTTCTAAGTTCCAAATAACAGTTCCTAGTAATAATATTCTTAGTTCTTATTTTCATTTAGGTTTCTTACACTCAAATTGGCTAGCCCTTATCTTATCCACTTTTATATAGATGTATACATAAATACAGTTATACATAGAGAGATTTTTAATACTATTTGTTAATTAACAAACACAGTTGGTAACTGGTTTTGGCTTCACAAATTATAAGCAGAATATTTGAGTGATCGCATATGATATGGAGATACTTTAATCCACTTATTTTGGTTCAAGAACATTAGTGAAGATGATTTTTTATTCGGCTCATTCAGATCATTATGGAGATGCTCTTTTTGATCTATAATCAGTCAGCAAGATTTTCTGAAAAAGGCAAGATAATATTTTAGGCTATGTGAGCTATACAGTTTCTCTTATTGCTCAATTCTGCTGTTAGGGTGTGAAAGCAGCTATTGACAATACTAAATGAATGGGTATAGCTGTGGCCCAGTAAAACTTTATATATAAAAACAGATGGAGGGCTGAATTTGTCCCACAGGTCATAGTCGTTGACCCTAATCCCAAGTTTAATTTGTATAAGACCCTCTAACCTTTGATCCATATCTTTTCTGTTTTTTTATTTACGTAATTCATTTTTAAAGCAAAAAGTTGTTCATATGTATGATTGTATGTATTTGTATAACCTAAAGCTATATATTTTGTTGTCTTGAAAGAAAGTAGATACACTTTTCCTGGAGTCTGTTCAGGTTTCAGGATGATATGACTATCATGAAAGATAGTGTGTGTTGGGGGAAGTGGACTTGCTCTCAGCCATTATCCTCGTCTTGTCATTTGATGCCATAATTCCAGATTCTCCATGTAAAAGGAAGGTCTGTGTGGTGTCAAATATTATATTCTCTCCACGTTCTGTCTGCCCATTGACACTTGGACCAGGACTCTGGATTGCTGGAGCTGCAGAAATTCATCCACTTGGGTACTTTTAGAGCTCTGTGACAAGAATATGAAAGAATTTCTGATCTTTGTGCTGCAGAAACCAATCTTCTGAAAAATTCTAAGCAAAAGAAAATGGGTTATGTGCCTCATTTGCCATTTGGTAGCCACTATTCCTATTGACTACAGGCAGCCACTGTAGAAGGGTACTGTCCCTGTTACTTCTAGAATATCCTAAGGCTGAGGAGTACAGACACACGATCTGTCCAAAAGGAGAGTTCCCTTTCTCTTTTCTTTCATAATTCTCCTCAATTCTTTTACAAGTCAATAGCATTATTTCAGAATGTCAGTATGCATCGTTTTTCAATTAAAGCATACCTCAACCTTAAACTTTCACTATTTAACAACTAATCCATTTCAAACTTGATTTGAGCCCAGCAATTACAGAGCTCATAAAATTGCCCATGAAATTACATAACAGCATATTACTAGCATATATATTGCACTGTACCAGTCATTCTGACAGATAATAGATTTTTCACTAAGAAGTCTATCAAATATTTCACTATTTTTGGAAAATCTAAAGGAGGGAAGAAAGCCTATATTCAGAATGATAGAGGAGACAGAAATTGTTTCTTTCACATTATATGAGCTGTCTTTCTAGGTCCAACATACTATAAGGTTTCCTCAGCTCAGTGTGAATGTAAGTGTGAGTACTTAAGCACATATACCCACATACATACATAATTAATGTGTAGAAGATTTTAAACATACCTGCAAATGTCTTTCAGCTATTTGAATTCCACAGAAGTCTACTGCAAGTTGTATACCAGAAAACGTCATAAAGATACAAGCTTAGCTCTTTTTTGGGAAAAATTATTTTTTTAGAAAATTTACAATTTTTTGCTGAATTAAGTATCGGCAATTTTAATTAATGGATTTGGAAGTTGAAATGCCATTCTTCAATCTCACTGGTCTCAAATTCACTGATAAAAATTTTTCCCTAAACTAATACGTGGGGTAAAATATAACCTCCTAAATTGGTACCCACTGGCTGCTCCTGAACTGGTTTCTAGTCATGTCCTCCATTATGTGATTTTTACAAATTAAAGTAATATTGTATATTAAAGACTAAATAAATATGTTCTTTAAGTGAAATATCTTTGTTTATTCTTCATTTTTACCCACTGATGTTAAGCAGTTTAATCTCTTTCTGTCTACAAAAGAGCAACTTTGGCTTTTACGGTAACTGGTAGTCTTCAGTCTCTCATTCAGAGTTTTCCTTTTGGATCAACTAATCTCTATATTTCCTGATGTTGTAGAAACTGAAGAGCATGCTTAGAGGGTAATTTTTATTGCAAGTGATATTAAGAAAACAAGCCATAAACTTAGGTTTATATATAGACTTATAAACTGTGCATGTTATCTGTAAGATCTATTATAATCCTTCCTCTGAGATGATCAAGCTTAAAAATTGCCTCAATCACTGTACCTCATTCTGTCACATTAAAATCTGACCTGACTTTTTAAAAATGATTCTTGGGCAAAATATAGGCCTAAAAGAGATTGAGCAGTGGGATCAGCTGGACTATAGATAGCGGTTGGCTCCATCAGTACTGTCCCTGTATCCCTGGACCATCCAATAAGGTAGTAGTAAAGCCTTCTGAAATAACAGCCAATTTACATCCTTGAGGTCTAATTCTTCCTGGCAAAGTAGATTTCAACTTGATCAAAATTTTATTCATTCATTCATTGATTCATTTAGAGACATGGTCTTGCTCTGTCTCTCAGGCTGAAGTGTAGTGGCAGGGTCATAGCTCACTGTAAACTCAAACTCCTGGGTTTAAGTGATCTTCCTACCTCAGCCTCCCAAGTAGCTAGAATTACAGGTGTGCACCATGTCTAGCTAATTTTTTAAATTTTTTGTAGAGATGAGGTCTTACTGTGGTTGTCTAGCCTGGCCATGAACTCCAAGCCTCAAGCAGTCCTCCCACCTTAGCCTCCCAAAATGCTAGAGTATTACAGACATGAGCTATTGCACCAAGCCATCAAAACTTTAGACTAAGAAATTACATTGTAGTTGTATCAAAATTAATTTTGTACTTACATTTTCAGAAGCCACTAAAACGGGACTGGATAAAATTATAAATAAAAAATGAGCTCCGAATGACTATAATTTGATAAAATCTGGGCCTCTCTTTGTCTGCCAGGTATCTGAAATTTCCATCATTTCATTGCATTGCAAAGGAACTGACAATATGCAAATAGCAATGTTAAGAATGTCAGATAGTGAGTGAGCTTGCACTTTTACTTGATTGACCTAACACAAATTTTTATTTTGGTAAAATTTTTATTGTGGTAAAATATGTATAACATAAAATTTGCTATTTTAACCATTTTTAAGTGTACAGCTCAGTAGCATTGATAATTACATTAACAATGATGTGCAACTATCACCCCTATTTCCAAAACTTTTTCATCATTCTAAACAGAAACTCTGTAACCTTTAAGCAATAACTCCTTGTTGCTCTCCTTTCTCCCCCAACCCCTGGCAATCTCTAACCTACTTTCTAAGACAAATTTCTTAACTCTACTAAATCTCAATTTTCTTGCCTCTAAAAGGGGCATAATATAGGATTTTTAGGAGACTTAAATGAGAAAAATCCATATACCTAGTCTGAATTAAGCTCTCAACTTTAGTGTTTTGTTATCAGCAGCAGATTGGAGTAATCATTTCTAAAGGGATAGAAAAAAAGAGGGAAAGGGCAATTAGAACAGAGCAGTGAAGAGCCAAGAAAATCATCTAGTTCTACCTCTTTATATACATAAGGAAACTGAAACCCAAAGGAAAATAGAAGGAAGACATCAGATGAATTTTAAGATGGTCTTCTGGTGTGATCATTCATAATTGTGTGAAATAAGACATGTAGTTTTTGTCGTTATATAAAAAAAGTTTAATGACATGCAAAGACAATGATAATGCATATGAACCAAGCAGTTTAAAAACTATTAATATATAGCAGAAGTCACTTTTTGTTAGCAACACAGCAGGAATGTATACTCAAAGTTAATAGCAGTTATCTTTGGTAAGGATATAATAGAATTAATATTTTGCTATTTCCTAGTTTAACTTTTCGAAAAAATTAAGCCGTATTAAGGTACAATTTACATAAAATAGTCCCATTGTAAGTATATAATTCGATGATTTATAGTAAGTATAAAGCTCTGTAACCATCCCACAATCCACAAAGATCCCACATAATCCATTTGCAGTCAATCTCCCCTTTCCAACCCAGTTCCTGGCAACCACTGATTTGCTTTCTGTTATGGATTTGCCTTTTCTGGACATTTCATATTAATGGAACCATACAGTGCCTGGTCTTTTGCATCTGGCTGCTTTAACCTAGCATAATATTTTGTTTTCAAAACATTTCTTTTTAGTGCTGAAAATATTTCATTGTATATATGTGCCATATTTTGTTTTTACATTAACCAATTGATAGACATTTGGATTGTTTCCACTTTTTGGCTATTATGAATAATGCTATTATGAATATTTGCATACAACTCTTTATGTGGACATATATTTTCATTTGGGTATATACCTAGGAGTAGAATTGTGAGTCATATGGTAAAGTCATGTATAACTTTTTCAGAAATCACCCCACTTTCTTCCTGAATCACTGTTTTTACATTCCCACTAGTAGGGTATGAGGGTAAGGATACCAGATTCCCTGACATCCCCACCAACAATTATTATTGTCTTTTTATTGTCTGCCTTTTTTATTATGTCCGTTTTAATGGATGTGAAGTTGTATTTCAGTTGTTTTAGTTTGCATGGCTCTTATGACTAATGATGTTGACCATTGTGCTATTCGCCATGCATGTCTTTGGTAAAATGTCTATTCCAATATTTTGCTCTTGTTGAAAGTTAGGTCGATTGCCTTACTCAGTTGTAAGAATTCTTTGAATGTCCTGTATTTATTTTCTCTAAAATTGTGGTTTGTCCTTTCAGTTTTTTGTTGGTGTCTTTTGAAGTTCGAAGTATTTTAACTTTGATGAAGTGCAGTTTATCTATGTTTTCTTTTATGGATTGTGCTTTCTTGCCTAATCCAAGGTCACTAAGAGTTTAGACCTATGTTTTCTTCTAAAAGTTTTATAGTTTTAGCTGTTACATTCAGGGCTATGATCCATTTTGAGTTAATTTCTTACGTAAGTGAAGGGTTTAACAACATTTTTGTATGTAAATATCCAGTTATCTCAGTATGATTCATTGAAAAGATTATCCTTTCCCTATTAATTGTTTGGTACCTTTGTGAATTATCAATTGCTCATTGTATGGTTGTAATGTAAGGTTTTAATTTCTGGACTCTTAATTTTGTTCCATTTATGTATGTCTTTCCTTATTCCAGCACCATAGTATGTTATTATAATAACCGTAGCTTTAGAGCAGCAGTTCTTGACCAAGGGATGATTTTGCCCTTTCTCCCTCCAAGGATGTTTGGCAGTGTCGAAGACATTTTTGATTGTCATGACTGGCAATAGGAGGGGTTGCTTCTGGCATCTAGTTGGGTAGAAGTCAGGGACTTTTTTTTTCCCCCTGAAAATAGCCCACTCTTTCCTGTTTCTTTGCATATCTTATAATTTTTTGTTGTAAACTGGACATTTTAGGTAACATTATTTTAGCAACTTTGGATTCTAATCTGATCTCTCTAACCCAAGGAGGTGGTGGTTGTTGCTACTGCTGTTCTGTTTGTTGTTTTTTTCTTTGTTTAGTGATTTACCAATTCTGTGGAGACTGTCTTCCCCCATGGTGTGCAGCCACTTTTTAAGCCTGGCTTTCTAGGAGTCAGCCCTGCATCAGCATAGCTTAGTGGTTAGCCAATGATTTGTCAGGTTATACTCAAGTATCTTTAGCTAGTAAGGGCTTCTATCCTTTGCTAGTGGATCTGTGTGTAGGTTGGAGAAAACATTCAAAGTTTAGGCACTTTACAACTCTTCCCCAGCTTTTACTTTGCTCAAGGTGCCCTATTTTCTGCCTCATCCAAGGCCTCATGCTCAGTCAGTAATGTATGGAACTACCTAGGGCTTTCCCTGTTCTCTCTTGAGTGTGTGCTCAACCTTGCTCTTGTGTGCAACCTTCCAAGCCACCAGAGATATGTGGCAAGGTACACTATGGCTGTCTTATTCCAGGGGTCTCCCTGTTAAATTTCTGGCTTGTCTGCCAAAACCTCAGGCTAGCTGCATTGGCCTCTCCCATTCATTGGCTGCTGAGATTGCTTCTGTTTCTAACAATGCCCAGGGACATGAGGCAGTCCTTTCATAGCTTGTCTTGCCCTGATTGAAGTGCCATGCTGATGGAGCTAGAAGGGGAGGGGAGCCAGCCCTGGACTAAAATGCCACTGACATACTCTTCTTACCCGAGGTTCAGGAGTTTTCTTTGAGTAAATACTTCTCAATGTGTTGTATGCCTGTAATCAATTTCTAGAATCCTAAAAAATTTTTTTTAAATTTTGTCCATTTTATTCCTTTGGAGGAAAGGATTTGCTGAGCTCCTCACTCTGCCATTTGCTATTCTAGGAATGAATAAATAAGCATAGGTAGGTAGATAAATAAATAGATGGTATATATAGATACCTTTACTGATATTCTTTATAAAATTCCTCTACAAATTTCAGCCTTCTTAAGGCTTTTCTGTCCACATCTGAAAGGCCTTTATTCACTTCCATCAAAATCCTCATCTTTCCAATGATTACACAACTAAAACTTTGATAGAACTTTCCCTGATTGCCCTTCAGTGATTCTTCCATGTTTGTACATCCATAGTACTTGTTCAAAACTGTTACAACTCATCACATTCGTTTGTGAATACACCTTTCCCTCCTACATTGTCAGCTGCTTAAGTACATAGACAGTATCCTAGTGATCTTGTTATTCCTCTTAACAACTTATATATTTGTTGAATAAACACCCCAGTTCTCAGAAGCCAATATTCTTTCCCCCAGACCAGACTGCCCCACTGAAGGGTGATTATAGTCCACTTGCCTTGACTCTGAGTTTTCTATCAGTAAAAACTTTACCAAAGCCATAAACACTAAGAAAAGTCTAAACATTATGAAAGAGATATGGCATGTACTGAGTCCTTTTTCTACAAATGT